CCAGAGAGGAAGAGGGAGGGAGCGAGGAAGTGGGAGAGTAAGAGTTGGTGTGTGTTTTTTGGCAGAGTCTGTGACGCTCAAGTCTTTTGTTGCCTGACATTTTCAGGTACCATGGTTACAGGTTAGCAGTCTTGCTTTTATCTGCCTTATTAACCCTTTGTTAGATTGTATTGGATCAAAAAGACAACGGTTTCAATGCATTCCTCCACATCACAGAAAGAGACCTCTGTTTATTCCTTAGGTGTGTCTCACATTTGTTACTAGTTCAGCAGATAGCGAGACTGAATTAGATGTCGAGCACTGATTAGATGAGCGATTCTGTTAACCAGTGGGCAGTAAAGAGCAAATGACCTGCTGTGCAGGTAGAAGGTGAAGATGAAATCATGCAGCAAAGTTTGTGAAATGTAAACCATAATCTTTTTACCATGTGGAAAAGTTTCAGTAAATATGGGGAAATGTGGCACCATGCAATAAATATGGCTTTAATTTAAATGATTACAATTATAGTAAATGCTGTTATTTAAAATAAGGTAATCCAGATATACTGATTATTAGATGGCATTCTGTTTTTGCATCACATCATCAGTTTTGTTCAATCCCAACTAGGCTGGGACATGTTCAAGGCTCACTAATGTTGCGTGTACATGTGCCAACTCTGATGTCATCAAAGCCCTGAAGCCATTTATTCTAGTGGATGTGCACAAACCCATCAACTGATGGGTGTGGAAACTCCCATCAGTACTGGTATAGGAGTAGAAGCCATTAATACATGAAGCACTGTTATCATGAAGGTGTTTACAAAATTGTTCCTTCATTGATTATTATTATTTTTTTAAATAAATGTGTTTGGAGGGGATTAGGCCAATAATAGTAGGAAAAAAATGGAAAAAAGTATTGACATCAGCTACATTAAAACCAGAGACATTAAAAAGACACGTGTTACTGAATAAAAATTTATAGGCGAAAGGTGGTTGTCCTGCTCCTGGAGAGCCAATCAACACATGAGCTGGTCTTGTTTTGTGCAGTTGGTGTTTGACAGTTTCAGCTATGAGGCGGCAGTCATATCGACTCCTTATTGTAGTAAAGAACTGTGCTTATCTTTTTTCTCTGCTTACTGTAACTGTAAAGATATTGCAACTGCCAGTATATGGTTGTGTGTCCTCTTATGATGCGTTATTGCTGCATTGCTGGCAGATATTAGACAATAGTCACTACTTTTGCTGGTGCTCATCACTTGAGGAAAAACCGAAAGCTAACCATCTTGTGGTGAAGAACAAATGACTCAAAGGGGGTAAAGTGTGTTTTAACTGTATATGAATACGTAGACAGGCAAAGCTCCCGGGTCTAAAAAATGAAGCCAGTGCAGAAGCGTCTTAAACCTGCATTCTTGTAAATGCCTGCAGGGGGTGACTCCTGTAGCAGCACGAATATTGTGAAGAATTCTGAGGAAAAGACGGTGTTATCTTTCTTCCATTCCCCAAATAAACTCTTACCTGATAATTGTATGGTGTCAGTCACTAAGTTTCATTTTACAAATTTTGTTACCAGTTAGAGCTAAAAAGGACAACAAAGCAGAGTTCACCTTGGAGCAGGTCTGCCTCGTTACTGCCGAATTGCTACTGCGAGCATCCAGAATCAAAACATAAAGATGGCGACAGGAGGAGGACTGCGGGAGTTAATTATACCCAATGGGTGGCATGATAGTCCTTCCATCATTTAAATACAGTCTTTTGAAAAATTGGTGGACAGTGGGGGAAGGATGCAAAGCCATTGCAGTAAATAACTACATAATTCATGCTTCTTTGCTGGGGTGTTTTTATGTTGTGCTATGTTTTCCTGCTTTCTTGTAGACCAGTGCCATTGTTATCATGGCCAGCATGTTGTGATAGCCAACATATTCTTCCTTTTTAAAATGACAAATCTGAAGTGTTATCACGTGGATAGACTGCTTCAAGCACTAACAATACTATTTTTCTAATTGGCTCACCAAATATCAAACCTACTATTTAACGTCATTGGATACAGTGGTTTAGCCTCCCATGACTGCCTGTAATTGCATGCTCTAAACCAGTGCTAAACATGGTTTTTCCTGGCTCAGCATGGGCCTTTGGGTGGCGACTATGCAAGTAAGCAAGATTTGTACATGTAGTTTGGCAAAAAGTCAGAATTACCTTAATTAAAAGAAGTCCAAGATTTTGTGGTTACCTTCTGTGTTTGATGTGATGACTAATGCTGCTCTTGTGTGTCTGTGTGTTAAATATAAAGATGGAGCCCAGAGCCAGGTGGCTTAGCAAAAAAGACTGAAAACAGATCAGGGGGTCAGCTCTGTCACGAGCTTTTATGCCTTACTGATGTTATAATGTGTATTTATCTGTTTTCTAAAATCTTTTAACTGTTTGGGTCGTACCTTAAGAACTGCAGGTCTAAATTTGGGGATTATTCCAACCATTAAGTGGCACCCACTTTTTATTTACCATCTTTAATAAGTGGTTTTGATAATTGTGGGTTGATCTACACTCCGTGGTTAGCAAAGGCTTCATGAAGACAGTTGACTAAAACCTGTATCCATACTAACAGTGAAGGTAATAATCCCACTACTGAGAAAAAACCCTCAAAGGTTTTCTTACAGAAATCAGGATAAAATTTGAGAATAAATAAATAAAAGAATTCAGTGGTCAAAATTCAAAGTTTTGGTCTGTTGAGCAGCTTTTCTTTGATTCTTCTTTGATTTAAGACCTTTTATCTCAGTAGTATGCAGGTTGTATTTTTTTAGGCAGCAAATCTGTGCCGTCACTTCATTTCAGGTAGTGTCGCTTGATTATGACAAAAACCACATGGTGCGTTTGAAACGTCAGAAGTCACACCAACTCTGACTTGGTAATCCAAGGTGTGTGCGCGTGTGTGTGAAGAGTTGTAAAACTGTAGAACTTGTAATCTCGATTGCCTTTGTTGTGCAATTATTAAAAATAAAGCCACAGAGGGGGAAAAAAACCCCAACCGGCTCTGTCTGAGCATGCTGCCAGGGGTAGGGCAGGATGACGAAGAAGGGCTATGGAAAAAAAAATCGTATATTTTTTTTCTTATCAGTCAATATAAGTATCTATCATGATAGAAATCAAATATGTTATTTCCTTTAAGCTTAAAGGGCTCTTTTTACTCCTCACATGTGAAGATATAAGTTTAATTTTCTTAATCATATACAGTAAAATATTTATTTTCTGTTGAACATGTGAAATGTACTGTAAAATTGTACAACTATATTTTAACATAGGTGTTTATACATGATAAACTAAAATCTTAATTCCAAATAGGAAGAAGCTTCAATTGGTACACAAGAACACAAACTGGAAAACTAAATTCAATGGCAATTTCAAAGAAATCTGGAAAAAAAGATCTCTCACTTACACACAAACAAACATTATTATTATTATTGTTATCATTATTATTGATAATGGTGGTTGAGTAACTATCTTGCTCGGGAGCAAAACATCACCTATTTTCCCCACTACTGTTGCTACTGAGCACAAGAGCCAATCTTGTGCTAGAATTGGTGGACAGTTTCTGACTTTTGCACACTTTGGATTTTACCAGCACTTTGTCTTTTTGTGTATTGCTGGGCGATATGAGATTTTTTCATATCACGATATGTTTTTTTCATTTCAGGCGATAACGATATCTATCACGATATAAGCCAAATAACTATATTTGTAAGATTTAAATGTGCCGTTGCTCACAAGTAAAATGTGAAATAATCAGCAGCTTGTTTTTATTTAAATATTTATTTCCCATAATAAGTTCAACAGGGTAGATGTACTTAAGGAACATGAGACTTTTTCAGATAAATAAAGGCAAATATTGCAAACTACACAAAAGGCAGCCGCTAAAGCGTTTAAGTTTCAAAATAGAACAAACGAAACAGACTAAATTGTCAATTCCACTTAGAAACAAAATATTAATTCTAAAAATAAATCTTAGTTTGTTTTACAGAAGAACAGACAAAACTGACTAACTTTTGTCAATATCAAATAAACTGAGAACTAAAAGGAAATTCTCAATCTCTCCTTGTTGTATAGCTTGAGCTTTTCAAACAGTTTTAACAGTTACTTTAGTCTGACAAAAGCCGAATGACGAATTAGCGCTTCCAGTCAGAGACTGAGGCTACGTCCACACGTACACGGGTATTTTTGAAAACGGAGATTTTCCGTTTTCGTTTTAAAAAATAATCCCGTCCACACATAAAGGCAGAAATGAAGGAAAACGCTGCTATGAACATGCCAAAGCAGCAGGTGGCGCTAGATTCCTAACCGTGCAGAAATGTTGGCCAATCAGAAGTCTAGAAGCCTCGGTGGGAAAAAGTAAACAAAGCTGCGGGCATAGAAGCAGAACCGAGTCGTATGTGTGGAGGGACAGTAACTGTGTGTATATGTAAGCATTTAAACACTGCAGAGAGTAGAATTAACAGTAACAGTATTGTAGAAATTCATTTCACCGAAACAATAACGTGGCGCACAGTGTGACGCATGCACCAGTTTATTGTATTTCCAGACTTGCTTTCGGCACAATTTACAGTGCACGCTACTCTGTTTTTTGTCAGACTTGAAATAGCCGAAATACCTTCACACTACGGAACTTCTATGGCTCTTCCGTTGACAATCTCTCCGGCATTGGAACCATCATCTGTTTTCTCTTCGGTCACGCTCGGTTGATTTTTCTAGTCGGCACACTCATTTCCTCCATTACCTCGCTGGCTGCTTCCCAAACAAACACACGTGCGGCTTGGCACTTGTGCTGTACGTAACAAGTCACGCGACGTGACGCTGCGGCTGTGATTGGTTCGGCTCTGCGCTACTTAGTTTGGATTGGCTGACCTTTTTTTTTTTTTTTATTTTATTTTAAGAGGACAAGAGCGGCGAGGTCTATCGCGATAGCTTAATTTCTCTATCGAGTAAAAGTTATATCGCGATACATATCGTTATCGTTCTATCGCCCAGCTCTACTTGTAACTCAAAGTAATGTTCATATCGCCACTGTCAAAAGCTGTAGACAATGGTATCATTTTCTTCTCCCTGTGCAGGAGCTATAGTGAAAGGAGAAAAACCATATTGGATGACCTTTTTTCCCTTCTGCAGATAACTGAAGAGTGTTGCACAAGTAGTGACACAATAGTTTGATTTTTAACTGTAATGTGATAAATTTAGTAAACGAATATTAGTGAATTGCAGAAAATGGTAATGGCATAACGGTAACATGTTTCTTTCTAACTAAATACTGCTTGAGTGGTTGTCCCATACAGCCGTGAAAAAGTACACAGTCTTTCTATTCAAAGATTTTAATGTATCAGCACATAATAGGATTTAAAATTATTTAAATACAACCTCAGGTGAACAACAGTGCATGATGTATTATACCACATCATTAGTCGACAAAAAGGAAGCCAAAATGGAAAAAGCAGTGTTAAAAAAAAACAACCCCTAACTGAAGCAATTAGTTGAAGTAAGCCTTTGCTTTAAGACTTTATCACTCTTTATCGCTCTTACATCATTGTGGAAACATTTGGGCCACTCTTCTTTTCAATATTGTTTCAGTTCATTGAGGTTTTTGTACAACTCTCTTAATATCCCTGCCACAGTATTTCAATTAGGTTTTGGTCTGCACTTTGACTGGACCATCACAACAACTTTATTCTTTTCTCTTATACCGTTCTGCTGTAGATTTGCTAGAGTGCTTTGATCATCGTCCTGTGGCATGTCCCAATTTGGGCCAAGCTTTAGCTGTTAGACAGATGCTGTCATATTTGACTCGAGACTATTTTGTTAATACGGTCAATGACCGCAAGTTACCCAGGTGCAGCTTGTAGTGGTTGCAAAACAATCAAATTCTAACCCCTCCACCACAATGCTTGACAGTTGGCATGAGGTGTTTACGCTGATACCTTGTTTAGTTTTTGCCAAATGTGCTGTCGTGCGTTCCAGCCAAACATGTCTACTTTGGTCTTGTCCAGCGGACAGTTACGGGAGTCTTGTGGTTTGTTCACATGCAGTTTTGCAAACCTAAGCTGTGTTGCCATGTTCTTTTTAGAGAGAAGGTTTCTACTGGCAACCCTGCCCAACACCCTATAACTTGTTCAGTCTTTTTCTAATTATACTGCCACGACATTTAACATTTGTCATGCTAACCGAGGCCTGTAGAGTCTGAGATGTTGCTGTTGTTGTTTTTGTTTTTTTGTTTTTGTTTTTTTTGTGCTGTTTCTCTGAACATTGTCTCATTTTGGGTGAATTTCAACTGCTGGGAATATTAACAGCTGTCATGATTTTTTTTTTCCACTCGAATGATGGACTTGATATTGTTTGGAAATTGCGTTATAATCCTTTTACAGATTGATAGACAGTAATAATTGATTTTTTTTTTAAAGATCATTGCTGATGTCTTTCCATCTTGGCATTATGTTAAGACACACCTGAATGCTCCATCCCCACAAACTGCTAGGACTGATTTAAAAAAAAAAAAGAAAAAAAAAAGAAGTTCTGATTATGTTAAAAAAACAGCTGAATATGATAAATGGCATTTGTGTAAACATAAATCTCTTTGTAAAGGTAATGTTACTTTATATTTTATTGACATAGAAGTGGAAATTGAACAATAATGTTTGGACCCCCTTGTACCCGTATTAATTTTCAGGATCTTCGTTAAGTTGGTGTATTAATCCATGTTGGGACCTTTTTGTTTAAACTTAGTTGCCTTTATTTAATCCTGGCATTTTTTTTATGCTGTTCTCCAGTAAATGAGTATCAAAGTAAAGGAGGTTTCTTAAAGACTAATTGTAGTGCCTGAGTTGTTGGGAGAGGTTTTGTGTGTACTGCATGAATCACAGTTGGTGGTGTGTTGTCAGTAGCCAACTAGGTATATATCACTGAGGTCTCTGCCCATCCACTAATCCTCTCCCACACCCCTGCCTCCCTCACTTCTTTCTCTCCAGCCTAAGTATAATATCTAGTTTGTCTCAGACACATTCATCTGCCCCCTGAGTGGCTTCTTACAGATTAACTGTGGATGGAGTTTGGAGGCTGCAACCTCTCACTGATCACTCAGCGTTTAACTCGAGCTGGGTCTGTATGGTAACTGTGCAGCTGTAGACTTTGAGACCTGTATGGAAACTGCGTGCAGATCTAACAGCACAGTGAGTTGCTGCTGATGACCCAGGACTCGGGAGAGGCTGTGGGTGTTGTGGTTTGTCCAGGAGATGCGTGAAGGAGCCCTGGTATGTTTCTGTACAAAGCCCTTAAACACAGAGATGAAGAGGAGGACATCCAGGTACAAACTTGGTTGCTTATTGTCACTAGTCAAGATGTGGGACGACATGCTTATTGACATGTTTTCAGTATTTTCTGGAGGCAGATTTAAATCCTGTTGTGTTGGATGTAACTTCGGATCCTGAATTTAAGATGCTTCTGTTTAGTTTATATCAAACAACATGCTGATATTGAGAAATGTTTAACGTGACCTCCGGGAGAAAATGTTGCTCTGCTACTTTTGTCAGATTTTAAGGAATTGTTGAAATGTTTTGGAGAAGGTGTTTGCAGGTTCCCCTCTTTGTGCTGAAGAGATTAATAGTGCTAATCGCCCTTGGGTTCCTCTGAGCTGCTCTGGAGGGGAACAATAAGGCACGAGGCATTAAATGAAAATTCCTTCACCATAAACCTTTGTTACGAGAAAAATGCTGTTGTAGAATTAGAAGGCTGTTTATACTGTTTGGTAGATGCCTCTAACTGGTGTTCCTCGTCAGTTCTTTTTGTCATGATTTTATATGACTGTTTCATTTTTCTCCTGTGTTAAACCTTCTAATCCCCTTAAATTGTTATAGACTAAATCCTGTATTAAGGGGTGCAACATCCCTTTTAGCCTTTTAAGATGTCTTGAAGTTTATTATTTAACATTGTTATAAATAACTTAAAACATACTTGGCTTTTATTCTCATTAAATTTTTCTTTACGTATCTTTTATGTATACTTTTCTTGAATTGCATTTGAGTCTGTTAAACATGAGAGACCTCAGCTGCCGCTGCTCACAACTCTTTCTTTTTGTTCACAGTCCCAGAAATCCTGGATAGAAAGCACTTTCACCAAGAGGGAATGTGTGTACATACTTCCAGTGTCAAAGGACCCCCACAGGTATGTGCTTAGACCTACTGTAGTGAGTCTGCTGGTGATAGCCATGGAAACGGCGTAATTGCATGGTGTGAGTTAAAGAAGGCCCAAACCATAACGACTACTCTCCAGAGGCAAAATGAGTCTGTTTTAATGTTTATGTCTGTCAATAAAATTACAGATTTAAGTGTGGGGTTAAGCAAGTGATGAACCTGTGGATCGTGACTTCTTTCAATCTTAGGGATGGGATCTCCCCCCCCCCCCCCCAAAAAAAAAAAAAAAGCAATATTAGCACTGTTAGCTCTGATATGATGTTTATACCCCAGCTTCAGGTATCTACCTTATACCGGTGTGAAAGTAATAAAATGTCATCCTCACAGTGAGAATTGGACTAGGAATCTTTTATGTGTGTAGATAGAGAGATATATAGCTGTCTGTCTGTCTGTCTGTCTAGGTCTTTTGACACAGTATTTTTCTGCAGACTTACTGGAATCTTACAATGCAGTGTTGAAATTATATGCAGGCGTCTTCTTGGCTTGGCGTGTCATGAAGGCCACTTATCCACACTGTGTTCATGACAAACATCAAACAGCTCTGTTAAAGGGGCAGTAGTTGCTATAAATACTCATCCACTTTCAGAGAAACGAGAAAGGAAAAGGTGATTTTTAAAAAAAAAAAAAAAGAAAAAAAAGAAAAAAAAAAATTTATGTTCCCACCAGCAGCTTATATTTACAGTTAAACAGTCCTTGGATGTCTTCCTTTCTTCTTGTAAACTCACAATAATGATGGGTGACTCGTTTTCCTGTGTTTTCTTTTACATCAATTATTTGCGAACTGGTTATTCTCTGTTAACTGCTGTATGTGCGGCTTCTGCTAAATGATTCAGAGGTGTTAGTGAACACAGGCTCATTTAACATTAGGTCAAAGTGTGGCATGTGACTGTGATCAAAGTGAGTCCCTTTGGAAGGTTTCATAACTGTCTCTTGGTTAAAGGCCAACTTAACCGGGCTGTCTGCCCAGGAGACAGTTAACCTTCCTTAATGTCCTTAAAGAACTTTCTCTGCTGAGAACTTCCTCCAGACTTGGAGAAATCAAACCCTCACATTAGTCTTGTTTTAGAACCGTCGTGTATGGTCGGAAATACTCTTCAGATTTATCTATTCTGTTTTTATTTATATTCGCACTGACTGAGTTGTTGTGGCATTTCTTTCAGATGCCTTCCAGGATGCCAGATTTGCCAGCAGCTCGTCAGGTGAGTATTTGTTTGCTTGTTGTTCGACTCATTCTCTGTTATCTGACAGGGTTAGCCTGGCAGAATCCATGCCTAACCAGCTGCTTTACATCAGAAAAACCCCCAGAGGTAAATTCTTTGCAATTCCTTTGAAATTCAACTAAACAACAACCTTTACCAGGAAACAATTAAATTCCAGGCTTTATGTGTTAGGATGCGTATTCTCCCCTAAGGCTAGTAGAGGAAGACAGAAAACAAAGCTCAGACTCAATAATGATAAACAATTAGGCTTTTTTGTTTTTAGAAAAATCTGTCATCATTGATCTGTAGATGGTTCATATCTTGGACACACTTTTACCAAGTGTGTCCAGTATTTCAGTTGTGTATATGTTTTAGTAGCTTGCTGCCTCGGTTTGAAGTACCACAATACTGTTGCAGTTACACACCCAGGCAGAAGCTTTAAGGGAGACCGGTGTCAACATCTGGCTGACACGAGAGGGAGATAGACAAATGATGGAACTGGAGAAAGAAGTAAAGAGGCTGTGAATTAGATCACCTTTGTCCCTGCCAGTGAATCCTGTCTGGCAATGTTTGGCACACATCTTGTGGAGAATATTAAAATGTTTCTAGAAGCCAAGCCATGCCACTCTGCAGCCCTCCAGGCAGTTATTTTGAACTCACTGTCTAAATCAATGGGCAACTGCGTTCCAACATAAACTCAGCATCTGCTTATCTCACAAAGTCCTGAACAGTGCAGTGCTAACTGATGTTATAGATACAATAAGTCATGGAAATGCAAAAAAACAAACAAACCCAAAAACGTATACCCACAATAATGAGTAGATGATCCTGGCCTTACACAGCTGAAACTGTCAGGATCTGTGTGCATATATCAGCACAATAAGATTAGCTGATGTGGGGTTTTTTTGTAGTGGAATGGTCATTTCCGATAACTCACATAGTTAAGTTATAAGAATAATATGTATTTTTATTTATTTTTTGTCTCGTGGGTCAATAATACTGCGATTTAAGAGCTGAAGCATAAGAAATTCTCCTGCGGAAAAGGAAATGTGAGAGCCATTTAAATTTATCCTAACATTAGTCCATCAGTTAATAATTTCAGGGTTCGTCTAGATGGTGTTTTAGTGACAAGGGTGTAATATTTTGAAACGGGTGAGACCAAAATCTAACCCAAGCTTATTTTTAGTGTCACTTTAAACGAGTTGCCTTAATGGAGGACTGATTTGTTCACTGTGGCCATTGTACTTGTATGACAGAATGAGGAGATGTTCATAAGCAATGCTATACTCTGCCCACATGTTTCCCAGATGGATTAAGCTTAGCGCCCCAAAGCAAGTGCCAGTTACTACACCTTTGACCATGAACTGGAAGTTCAAGTCTTGATAGTAATGAATAAATGATGAATGATAGTAACAATAAATTTGTGTCAGCTGGGCATGACTTTGACTTGTCTTGTTACTTATAGAGCTGCTTTGTGAGAATGAAATACAGCTCATTAATTTTAATTTACTAATTACAATTAATTAATTGTAATTAATACATTTAATACCCTGCTAAGTAAGTTTGCTCACTTACAAAGAAATGAGACCCCTATTTTTTTGGAAGTTTAATTTTAATGGAGAAAGACAGAATATCAACCCAAGTTGATTGATTTTGGTGGAGCTAGAATTATAACACAGAAATTATAATCAAGATTTCAGCTGTAAAAAGAATGGGGTACATCAGTGTCATGAAGTTGTTATTACAAAGTATAAAGAATGACATGTGTAAGGGTATGGCTTTGAAAAACAAAACCAGATTCTCATCCAGGTAGCAAACTTCGGCAATGGGGCCAATATGTTGTACCCTCTTTAAGTAGCAGCTTAAAGAGCCGTTATGAGAACTGGATTTCAGTGAATGTGTTTTATTTTATATTTATTTTAAGATTATGTAATGATATCGAGTACATTTGCACTATACCCCCATATAAGCAATATCCCATATTGCTGCAAAAGAGGAAATACGGGTACCTACTTCTCTTTTTATGTCACAGGTAGACAGAGCCAGACTTCCAGGGGGGGTCGATCTTGTAAATGAAAAGGACAATTTGTTTTGCTGAATTTGTTTTACTCTTCTTATTTATTTAAAGCTGTCTCCATTGTCTTGGCTTCTGCCACACTATGTTAAGAGGCTTTGAAAGATTGTGAAGGTTGTGTGCTAGAGTTATAACCAGAAAACACTAAAAAAAGGCAAAACTAGGTCCAATAGTCCAATGAATTGTACAATCATTTCAAATACCTGCACCTTTACTTTATTGCAAAAGGGTCTTAAACATACAGATGACAAAAAACTCATGCAATATTGCACTGATTGACTAAGTCTAAATATACAGTACATGTCCCAGGCGGCTGAGTAGTACCTGAGAATTCTTTGTACACCTGAATGCCATTACTATTAATGCAGGGTTTGACAAAATCAATGGTCCAATGGCCTGGGGTCATTTTTGGACCTGTGACGATGTTTCCACCAACTAATTCAACTGTGAAGCAGATTAGGTTAAATGAACCCTCACTAATGAGTAGGTTTTTTTTCCTGATTAAAATGTCACTAGAAGTACTACATTAAAGGTTATTATAATCTTAAGGAATGGGTTTGAACTGCTCCCATTCATCGCTGGTTTGTTTTGCACAGTCATAGCACAACTAATTTAAGAAGTTGTTAAAATGAAAACTAACACATAAATTGCTATATCTAACACAGCATGCACTCCAATACTATTCTCCATTACTGCTATTTCTGAAGCTTTTTTTTTTTTTAAATATAAATTGTATATAAACAAATTAATTATCCTATATTCTTAATAATCTAGCTGGAGTACGTTCTGTAATTAAATTGGCTTTTTTTTGGGGGGGGGCTTGTTTAAAAAATATATATAAATAAATGACTAATAATCTCATCTTCTGGCCTATTGGGGGAAGATGTTATTTTGAACAAGGGATCCTATGCACATGTAAACAGTTTTTGTTAGTGATGATGTGCCGCTTTAGCTTCTCTGCCTTTTTGTGCAGCTTTTGATTGGCTGCCCATTGCAAACAGGAGGTTTGCTTTGCAGGTGGACAGGGCGTCTGTACTCAGCCAGAGCTGTGTGCCTCACATGACAGTGTTGTCTCATACACATACAGATGTTAGGAAATCTTAGATTAGGTTTTTTTCCCCCTAAAGCCTGAACTTGTTGATTTATAGTGGCTACTTATACTTGGCTGGCATGATTTGAAACTGCAGCAATGTTTATTTTGAGGAGCCAACATTGTCGCAATGTGTGTTTATAGAAAATAATGTAAAAAATAATAGGCTCACATTCATAGTTCAACATAATATTCAGTTGAAGAGTGCAGTGTTTTCCGAAAAACACTTCAGGAATATTTATCAGGTGTGGCATGGATTCCTGTTCCTTGTACTGTTTGTTTCTCTAGATTATTGTTCTGCTTTTGAAAACTCTTGTTGTAATTGTTTTACTGGTTTCCTGTTATTCTTTTTATTTCTTCAAAATTGTATCATGGCTAATAATAATTGAAACTGCAAACATTTGAAAAATTCATCTTGGCTTTTTTTTTTTTTTTTTAAGGTGCTGCTGTGGGCGGCTGGTGCGCCAACATGCTGGCTTCACAGCCAGCTTGGCCACCAAGTACTCAGATGTGAAGTTGGGTGAGAGCTCCAATGTGCCTATGCCCGAGCTGGAGGAGTGGTCAGTGGAAAAACACACAGAGGCCAGACCCACTGATGCCTATGGTGTCATCAACTTCCAGGGAGGGTCTCACTCATACAGAGCCAAGGTGAGGGGCTAATCCCCTTTGCTGTCTCATGTTTACTTTTTTTTTATTTTATTTTTTAAATTTAACATTAATATAGAAACTGTGTTGGGGTGGCGGGTGTTCCATCACTGTATTTAAGGTGTGGTGACTTCTACATAGATATCCTTGGTCTTGGAGTTTTATAGGTAAACAACTTTAGGCTCGACTTGATGAAATAAAAAAACAAAACAGTTTGATCAAAAACGGTTTGATAAATAGTGCAGATTGTGTATTTCAATTGATTTTAGCTTATTTTTCCGTGGCACTTCACTCTCTATAATATTTAAAGGCAAGTTTCTTCAATCCAAACACAAATTTATTGTGTGTGGTGACCCATCCTTTCTTTGTTGTGTGTTACGCTAACATGTTTTTCTTGTGTTTGTGAAACTGTGGACAGTATGTACGTTTGTCCCATGACACGAGGCCAGACAGCATTTTACGACTGATGCTAAAGGAGTGGCACATGGAGCTTCCCAAGATCCTCATTTCTGTCCACGGAGGAGTTCAGAACTTTGACCTGCACCCCCGCATTAAGCAGGTGATCGGCAAGGGCCTCATCAAAGCTGCTGTCACCACCGGGGCCTGGATTCTCACCGGTGGTGTTAACACAGGTAAATAATCAGAGAAACATTATGTTCTTTTTGAAATACTGTGGAAAGGACAAAGTTCTTCTGTGTGTTGTATCATTTTTTTAAAAGGTCTTGCAATTCAGATTGATTTTTAAATGAGGAAAGGCATTTTATTTTTGTTGAAATTAGGGAAAATATTGGAAATCTACACTTTTATGTCCAGATTCTCACAATGTACATTTATATGTATATTAAAAAATATTTAAATCTGTTTCTCCAAAAGAAACCTAACAATTATATAAATCAGACTGTTAATGATCAAACTCTTCTTTTACAAAAGCTGCAGATTCATGTTTAACAGGTTGTTCAGTCATTGTGGAAAGGAAGTCCTGTCTAACATGTGCTCAGCGGGAAGAAACTGCGTTATCTGTAGATTAACTTTATCAGCCACAGTGCACTGAGTGGACTCTACCTTTTCAGTGTTACTGGCCTCAATACATTTTGAACAAGTTGCACTTCAAGGATATTAAATCATTATAGCTTTGTTTTTATACTGAAATCAGAGTCTCGGGAAGAACATTTTCATGTGGTTTTCACAAATGGATCTTTATTCCCTCAGCACAAGAACTCTGAGGAATAGCTCTTAATAGGCCTCATATTCTCAGCAGTGACTGACCATTGTGGTATCATCTTTATGTTTTAATGAGACAGGAGGCTTCATTAGTTTTGCTACTGGTGGATGGAACCACTGAAACCATCACTGAATGCTGCGCGATTAGACAAAATGTGTTAGAAATAAAACCAAAAGTTGATCATAATGCTGAAAGCATAGCAGCCTCCATTAGGTTTGGCAAGTTCAAACTGGTTACAGAACTTTATGGGTAGTTTGTTTTTGGTGCTGCTAGAAAATGATTGTCAGTCCTGGAACATATTTGATGTAGCTTCTCATGAAGGTAACGCCCATCAATTGTTTGACCAATAGGAAGATATCTGTTGTTGAAATCCTTTTGGTTTTCAAATGAATTGCCAACAATGCTTGATTGGGTGGAAGATGATCTTTTTCGCATATAGCACACAATAAATGGTCTTCTACTAGAAATACTCTGCTTTGGTTTGGGGAAGGGTGATCCCTGGGTGGAGCATGAAAGAGGCAAGATATATATGACATTACTTGGTGTGAATTCACTCGACAGTTACCTGTACTATTCTCGCATAGGAGAAATTGGTCATTACAACAAACCTAATTAAATGTAAAATTTCCTTGTTGAGTCAGCGGATTCTTGGTATAATGAAAAATACACTTATTAATATATCTGAATAAACATGCTTTTTTATTATTATTATTATTATTATTATTATTATTATTATTATTATTAATTTTTAATTCTAATGATAATAATTATAATTTCTATATATTAACAAATACTTAAAAGGCATTTTTCTTTGGAAGACTCTTAGCCATGCAATCCTACACAAATAAACAGCCCGTTAATGGTGATTCGCTGATGTAGCAGAAGTTCTCTAACCGTGTCATTTGGTTGTGAGTCGAGGCTGATGTGTGTTTGCAGCCACAGTGTGGCGTTAAGATGTTGTGGTCTGATCATAGTGTTTAAATCATTACTCACAGGGTCAATTACTCAGACCAGTGATTACTTTTAATCCATCTCTGGTACTTTGGCCAGTTGGGATGGTTTCCCGGCTCACAAATTACTGCTGAATTTATAGGATCCATCAAGTGAGGATTGTGGTTCACAAACAACTCCAGGGCTAATGTACTTGTTGTGAGCTGGTCCCATCAGTGGCATTTTGGTCATTAACACTCTGGGGGTTTTTTTCTGTTTCTTTTATTTGGACTTATTTTTATTTATTTGGACTCTGCTACCTGACAGCAATGCATGTACTTTAATGAACAGAGAACAAGAGAGGAACATGGGCTGTTATTTTGTCTAAGAATGAGAGAAAATTGAAAAACATAAACTAATGGTAGATTTATCACTTAATAAAACTACATCTGCTGCTCCCCTATTTCCATGGGGTCGCCACAACGGGTAGCTCTGCATTTATGATTTGGCAGATTTTTATGCCAGTTGGCCTTTCTCACACAACCCCAAACAGATTTGTTAAGCCAATTAAATCTGACCTATGAATCATTCAAGTATTAAAAAAGGTGATGGACCAGTGTTGTGTCTGCACACAACAGACAAATTAGCAAAGAACTAATATTAACCATACAAATCTAAATTGTAGGTTTAGGCTTTTTAAAACGCTTAATTTTCTCTTATTTCTTTAGGTGAATCTATGAAAAAGGCCAAAGATAACAGTTTGATGGACATAGAATTGTATTCTTGCACCAACAAGGTAGTTCTCAAAGAAATGTTAGCCCAAACCTTAGCATGTCTTGACATTGTGTGCATGGTCCTTAAAAAAATTGAGAAGATTGGACAAATGGAGGACAAAAGAAGTAGCAGGTCTTAAAAAAGAATCTCCTGTAGCAGATCAACAGTCTTTAAAGAAATGGAAAATTCATCCAGCCTTTCAGTTGAGCCATCTACTGTTCACTGAAGCTTCGCTGGAGTTTTTCTCAGTTGGAAGGGTGGCTGTCGAGAAGCCATTTTTAAAGGAGTGGAAACAGAGAGAACTGGCTAAAGTATGCAAACTGAAAATCAGTGGCAACAGGCCTTATAGAGTGCTGAATTAGAAATGTTTGGTTTAAATTGTGATGATTATACATAGAGGAAGGCATGAGAGAGGCACAACCGTGAATGTCTACAGCCGTCTGTAAAACATAGGAGGTTTTGGGCTGCATTTCAGTGTTGGAGATCTTGTAAAAATTGATGGAATGATGAACCCAGAAAAGTAGTCAGATTTTGATTCACTATGCAATAACATCTGGAAAGCATCTGATTGGCAATGGCTTTGGTTTTTCAGAATGATCCCAAATACACTGGCAGTGAAGTAAAAGCATGACTCTATGGAAAAGCACAGTAATCCACAACTAGTCTAAAGCTAAGAAACACTGAAGTGTTTAGTTAAATTTGAGAACTGTTTAATAGAAAATGACCAAAATTAGTAACAAACGCATTTTAAACCACTTATCACATTCATCAATAATGAATCATGCTGCTTTACTGTGCAGCACCTTACATCGTGCATTAGCAACATTAATTATTATACAGACAGACAGTGAAGAAGAAAAACATTTAAAACAAAATGATGTTAAATATCATATGAAAACATGTACAAAAGATGTTCACATATCATTAAAGCATGACAAACTAACATCAGAAAAACTAAGGAAGTGTGACTGAAAAGTGTGGCGGATTGTGGCGACAACCACTTCAAATGTTAAAAGTTAAAATCTAAAATAAAGAAGTGAAATATCTACTAAAACTCATTCAACTGCACCTAAGCCCTCCATGTTTGGACTTCTTCTATGTTCTTAACGCGCAAATAAGCTCTGCCCATCAAAATGTCACGAAAAAGTCAGGTGAATATATCGCCTATTGTCATTTATTGGCCTGATGAATGTCGGTTGGAAACATTTTACATATCACCCAACCTTATTGTCAAGGTTACTTTAAATATAGACTGTTAGTAGGTAGATTTTGAGCATCCTTTAGGCATCTTTCATAAATCTGCTGATATGATGTATTATAGTTTAACTCATCCAATGTTTTTAGTGTCTGAAAGTCAGATGGAGGTTGTCCAGTTCTTTTCACAACATTGATTAAATATATCTATAAAATGCATTTTTAATGGTGAAAGATTATGCTGAGATATGTGACTTGGGTGGACAGTTTTATTTCTAATAATAATAAGGAATATTTAGCAGTGGAAACCTTTTTTAAAGAAAGAATAAAAGCTTACTTTTTTTATTTGTTTCTGAAGGTGTAGCAAAACATGTGGGAGATGCTCTCAAAGAACACTGTTCAAGATCATCAAAGAAAATTTGCACTATCGGGATTGCACCCTGGGGAGTGATTGAAAACAGGAACGATCTCATTGGCAGAGACGTAAGATGCAGCTTATTGTGACTAACCTGAATGTTAATGCGCCACAGAAGTTGTAATTTATGTGTGCATATAAAGATATATGTATATATGTATATATGTGTGTATAGTCTCCTTTTTTCCCTTTACTTTTCTTGCTGTTAATGGCTGCTCTTTTCCACACTGCAGATTATTGCTCCATATCAGACACTACTGAATCCTCTCAGCAAACTAAACGTTCTCAACAGCCTGCATTCCCATTTCCTCCTTGTGGATGATGGGACGGTGGGAAAGTATGGCGCTGAAGTAACATTGCGGCGGGAACTGGAGAAGCATATCAACCTCCAAAAAATACATGCCAGTAAGAACTTTTTTTTTGGTCATTAATGTAAAAGTACATGCTTAGTGCTGCAACAAAAGAGCATGCATACACTCACACACACAAACCGATATCAACATACATAAGTCCCATTGCAGCTGAATGTGTGCTGTTCTGGTGCAGGTGAAGACTGTGTGATGTGTCCATGAATGCCACACTTGTGAGATTGACACAAGACTCAACATTGCACTGTAAATATATTCAAAAATCTCAGACTTCGCACTACCTTTGGAACTATGAGTTGGACAAATTAATCAGTCACTTCTTCTACCATTAACAACAAACACAAGAAAAGAAAACCAGGGCTGGTTCACAAACCTCTAAAAAGACTCTGACATAAATTGCTAAACACTCCTGAATCTTTACCAGATTCAAATTTTGCTCTTATCCATAGAACCAACACTATCTGGATTTTAAACAGACTCTTTAATAGAAATCCTGCATAATGTGTTTCAAGCATAAAGTGATAGTCTGGAGTTTAACTAGGGCCAGAAAGAAGCACTGGTCAAAGATGATAATAATACACTACAAACCTTGACTCTCACCACCCAACTGAACATTATCATAGCTGAAAGTAAAATGAAAGAAACTATATTCTGGACTTGAAAACAAGCAGCAATAGGGACACCCTGGTCGTTTCCAGCATACAGGAACGTAGAACAGATGAATTTCATGGTGACGAGACTAGAACTACACCCCCCCCTGTCAGTAGCATCACATCTCACTGTGTAAACTGGAAATTAAAAAAAAAAAAAAAAAAGTAACATAACATCCTACACTGAATGTCACCAAGTTTGGACATTATAAACATAATGAACATATACAATATGCCAAGGCAGACAGCTTAAATGGATGGACAGTGGACTCAATGACCAGTTTCCATGCGAAGTAATTGAAGGAAAAAAACTGAAAACGGTACATCAAAGAAGCTATATAAATCACAGAAAAGATATAATTGATGAAAACTCTACTGTAACAAAAATGTGACCCAATTGCTTTTCTAGTTCCCCAACCCAAATCTGAATCACTTCCTTTTCACTCACAGAGTATTTTACCAATCATTTGCTGCATCTCCCCACTCCTTAGCAGTTTTCTCCGGCTTCTAAACGAACATAGACTGAAATGGCTTGAGATCTAAAGCGCTATAGTGTCCCTTTTTGTTTAATTATTTGGGTTTTGGTCTTCTGTTCATTTTTATGCCATATTTTTTCTTCTGTTTCTGTTATCACAAATGGTATGATTACACAAACATCATTCACCACACGTGTATACAGACATCTGTCTGTAGTCAATATTAACAATGGTTTAATGATAATAATTATGTCTATTGCATTTATTTATCTAGTCTTTTACAATTTTTCTTCTTCACTCACAAACTTTTCTATTTGTCAAAAGGGGTAACAGACAGATGGGCTCCAACACTAAACAAACATTAAAATCTACATGAATAAAAACATTTTAATGATTGGTTTTAGTTGAGGCAGTCTTTGATTACACTGTCCATTTCACAAGGAATTGGCCTGTATAAGTTTTTTTCCCCCCTCTAGTCTGTGAATTTTCTTTTTAACACGTAATTTCATAATTTTAACACATGATTATGAAATGTAAAAAAACAAATTAATCATCAGTGATCATGCCCCACTAAACCTTAGACAGAAAATGAAACCGTCTAACAAATGATTCAGTACCTGTCATCTAACTACATCGATAAAAAATTAAAATTTGACAAATTAAAAGCGGAGCATTTTAGACCAGGAAACACAACATAAATATTATCCTGTGAGGGTATTTAAATATCTTAGTGGAGAGGGAATACAGGGATGCAAAAGGAAGATACGGAAACAGAAATTTCTGATTTGGCCTCTGCCCACTTTTATGCTGTATGACCTGAGCTGATGGTAAGCGTGCTTGCTTTGGCAACGCATTGACACAGTATGGATCAACCTGGAGCTCATTCAGCAGTCAAATGCTGGGTCTTTTGTTTTGTTTTCCCTTCTACATTGACAGAGTTGTCGTTTGCTAGGCTGTGATTGG